CGCTGTCAGTGGAGATGGCTCCTGGCCTGTAAGCAGGCCTGCCTTGTGTTGCTGTCATGTGATGACGTTGTCATGGGATGACAATTCCTCCAACTGCATCAAATGGGAGGTTAAGCTTCCTTAGAGATTTAAAAATTCTCCCATTGACAAGAAGATGATCATGGAAGTTGATTTGAAAAGACTTTGGGTTCTGTGTTCTTAGGGATAGAAGTAGCAGTGGTGTCAGGTGAGCAGTAGGACAATACAACGTGTGCAGAGCGGCAATGGAGACTTCAGAAGCTCTGAAGTCATCAAGGGACCAGGACCACTAGGTGGGGATGTGGTGCCTGATAGGCAACGGGAAATGGGCTCACAAGTTTCTTGAACAAGATGAGAACGTCAGGCTGGAGAGATGGCTCAGCACTTAGCAACACTATCTGTCCTTGCAGAGGACCTGGATTCAGTTCCTAGCACACCTATAGTGCTGGTGACCACCAAGAATACCAGGAGGTCTAGTGCCCCCTTCTGGCATCTGTAGGCACTGCATGCAGGTGGTACACATACTAAATGGAGGGAAGACACTCCTACACCTAAAATAAAAATAAATATTTTTAAAAAGATGAACACCACTACTGCATTCTGAGTGCGCCCTTCTAAATCCATGTTGATGCTTAATTCTTCAAACATTGCATTGTCAAGAGAAACCCGTCAAAGTCAACAAGTGACTACCATACATTTTTTAAAAACTATGTCCTGTAATGAATCTATCTCTGCCTTCATTTATTTACACTTGAACACGAGCCGTAGAGTTTCTAAATGTGGACTCTAAATTAATAGCTTTTAAAATGAAAAGGTATCTTTAATATCCAGTCTGGTAAAAATAAATTACCAGTAATTTGGTCGAGATGGCTTTTGTTGTTGCTATTTAAAAAAAAAAAAAAATGTTTCTCTTCATGTGTTATTAAGTGAGGAAGTAAGGAAGTACCTGTGAGAGAGGCCTGCTTCTACTGTGTAATGGTCCCCCTAGTGGATCTGAGATGCAGCGAGCCTGAGGCTTGTGTACAGACGCTGGTGATGGATGGAGGGATGCTCTCACTTTGAGAAAGTGTTCTCTAGGATTAGGGCCACCTTGACTGTTTCCCATAAAGAAAATCTCTGTGCATAAATGTTCATTTTGTGAATGCCTTCAGAGAAAATCTCAGTAGTGCATCACTCTTTACAGTGAGGATAAGGATATTAAAGAGTCACTGTGACGCGTTTATAATTTCCAAATGAAGACTTCACTGGATTTCGTCAGTAACATTTTGTTCTTTCATTTAAATTGGTTGTTTCCACATGGGCAGAATGCATTCCAATGCTGCTGTGTGATTTTTGAACGGAAAAGACATCTTAAAATCAATAATAACAAATGAAGAAAAGTGGTGATAGAAGAAGCAGACTACCTGCGATTAAGACTCATTCCCCAAATCTAATGTTTAAGACAACAATGTCTAACAATTACGTAATAAAACCTCCGAGATAAAGATGGATTTTTGGTTGTATAAAATGCTACTCTAATATTAGGCCTGAAGGTGCTACTGTTAAGAACAATGGGCATAAGAGAAGTTGCACAGGATGGATGACCTATGGGGTGGAAACTATCTTTAAACTTATCACTAGCCAGAGTAAGCTAGAAACTAGAGTCCAGTCTTTAAATGTTAATAATGAGTGTGTAACATGCCCACTGTCAATAGACTGTCTATTACCTAAATGAACACTGAGAGTGCTTTTCCCTTCATTACACAATATTTTTCTGGTTCATGAAGCTGCTACTTATCCCTAGAAAGGAAGAACTCAAGTAGGAAAATAGTTTCTTCCTTTAATTCACATTGGTGGGCAGAACTTTCTCAAGCCTTTTAGAGCTGTAGCAGGTGAGAGCCAAGTGTGACGGTTGCTTCCTGACGTTAGGGAAGACTTGTAAACCATTCAGCCTCCTGGTTGCTCAATTCACTAGCAACAAATAATAAATATGTGGATTTTTAAACTTTTTCTTCCTCCCTGTCGCCTGGAAAGCTAGCTGGGGGACCAGTGACGGGAGAGCTAAGTTGTGACACACATCCATAGCATAGGATGTGTGCAGTTTCTAGACTGTCTTCAGGTTATGAGCAGTTCTGTAGACTTAGCTTGCTTTATCCAAACAAAGGCACATTTTTTTTTGTTTGCTTTTCTGGCATCGAATAACTTTCCTTGGTGACAGAATGGGTGATGTGTGGATTGGATGAGGAGATAAGAAATGGGAAAAAAAAAACAAAGGCTGTAACATCTATAATTAACAGAACTGTATACAAACAGTAATTAGTGCGAGTGAAATATATTTCTGCAGAGTAAAAATGGAACGAAGGGAACAATGGCAATGGCAGACGATTAGGGTAGATGGAGCATGGATCACAGAGAGGGTGCCGGGCGGGAGGAGACAATGCCGTGCAATGTGGGTGGAGAAACACTGGGATTGTTTAAAACCCTCTTTTCAAGGGCTCTCCCCAAGACATGTCTGACTCCCGCTGCCCTTCCATTAGCATGCTTGTGTTCATATTTTCAACTTGTAGAAAGCCCGAGTAAGGTAAACACTTGATTTGAAAACTTTGTGTGGAGCCCCCACAGCTTTCCAGTCCTTGCCTTGGCCTGTTCCGTGCAGGCTTTGCCTCCGCATCCACAGGGCTTTGCCTGTGAGTGCTCTGCAGGTCAAAATTGCCTGATGTTTAAATGTTACCATAGTGATGGGTAGTGGACACTGTCATCTTTCTCGTTTTAATTAAGGTGTAGAGGCTGGTGAATATGCTCTCGGAGTGACCCGCTCTTAGCTAGTGTGAGCACGGCGATTGTTTGCAGTCCTTTCTCTCCTCCACAGTCTTAGCTTCCTCCTGTCTTTGATCAAGGCCTTCATCCTGTTAGGTTAAAGGTACAGAATGCCTTTAACCCCTTCCTCCACAAGCTTTGTCCTGGAGTAAAAAACTTAACTAAATATCATTGGGGAAAAAAATGATTCATTTTTTTTTCCGTCTGGAAGCTCACACTTTCTCCACTAAAAGTTAAAATTTGCTGCTGTGTTAAGTGGCAGTTGTTTTAAATATGTAGAGCTTAGAAGTGAATGTTGCTGCTCACAATTTTAAGAGTAATACTCTTTATTAATTCTTTGAAATTTTCATAGAATATATTTGGGTCACATTTACCCCCCACCGACTCTTCCTTTACTCACCCTTTACGTTTTCTCATTCTTGCCCACCCAACTTTGAGATACCCACCCACCCACTAATACATAGAGTCTAGTTCAAGTTTCCCAACAAGCCCTGGTCCGGTAAGACGGGGATGGAGTTTGCCCTGGAGTATGGTTGACTTCCCTGTGATCACAAAATAAAACTCTGTCCCCCAGCAGCTAGCTGTTAAATGCCAGTCTCTCCTTGGCTAGTGCTGTGATTTCATGCCCTCCTTCTCCTTCCATGTTGGGGCTCTGTCTGGCGTGAGTTTGCTCAGTTCTTGTGTGTGCTGATGCAGTTGCTGAGTTTCTATCTCTCTGCTGTGCTGACCAGCTGAGAGTCTCCATGTGAACTGCCTCCTCCTACGACGAGAAGCTTCTCTGGTGATGCCTGAGTGGTGATGCTTTGGCCAATGGGTGTTAATCAATAGGGTCCATTTAGAAGGTCTTCGGAGTGTCACACAGGTGATAATCCTTGCTTGCTATATGTATTTTCTGAAATGACATAACAAGGATAAACAATAATTCTGTATGAAAGGAACGGAAGAAAGGTGGATCTTCAAAGATGTTTGTGTGGTGGGTGGATGTGTGGCAGGGGGGGGGGTGTGTATATATGTGTGTGTATGTGTGTGTGGCGTGCGTGCGTGCGTGCGTGCGTGCGTGCGTGCGTGTGTGTGTGTGTGTGTGTGTGTGTGTGTTACATGAGACAGTCCCATGTAACACATCGCCTCTAACATATAATGTAGCCAAAAACAACTAACACATCATACTCCTGCCTCCACCCCAGGGGTACTGGGATTATAGGTACCAGTTTATAATCCGTGTCTTAATGGAGGTAGAGTGTGCTCTATGTAGCGAAGTACAACTTGGTTGGAGGAGCTAGAGAAAACGGTTTATGAAATAGAGATATAGGTGCAGGGCCAGAGGAAGGTCATGTATAACGGTTGTCTTAAATAATTCTCATTCATTTTACTTATGGTTGCTAATTTAAGCATCTTTAAATACTTCATGTGCACGTGTGTGTGTGTGTGTGTGTGTGTGTGTGTGTGTGTGT